AAAAAAAAAAACAGAAATTTAACTTATTTTTTTTATTTAAAAAATTGTTTTTCCTTTTCGTTTAAATATATTTTTCCATTTTTATTTTCATACACATTAACCCAAAAGTCAGTTAACTGAAACGTAAAGAAGCCAGTTAGTTTGGTTAAGTGATTTTTGGGCCACCCTTTATATTAAACAAGATCTAAAAATGTAATTTAGTATTGTTTATATATTTTATTTTATTTTTTATTAGTTATATTTAAACAATTTTATTAATAATAATTAATTATTATTAAAATTTTAAGAGTAAATGTATAAAAATTGCGGTTTTTTTAATATGTTATTAAGTATAAAACATAAAGATAAAGGTATATTAAAAACTTTATAAATTCCAAGCAGTTAAAAAGAAATTTATAGGATATAACCACGGGCAATTTGAGCATTGTTTTGTAGTAAATCCTCCCTATTACCATGCACCAAGCATTCCATTATAAAGTATTAGAACTTCACCTATTTATCGGATCATTTATTTTCAGGTGCAGGTAAAGCTCAGCTGAACCAAAACTATTGGCGACTCAACTATTTCCCTACGGAGACGTAATAATTCTGTCAAAGTACCATTCACTCTACAGTAAAGGACAGTTCTACATCAATATCTCTTTGCGTTGTCTTCGCAGTACAGAATTCACTAAGAAAAAGGAGAACAAAAGGATTTAATGTTACACGTGGGACGTAGTTGGTTATATAAGTCACTTTGACGTCGGAAGGAGTGATCAACTCATACATTGCACCTCATGAGAAGCCAAGTAAGACACAATAGGTGCCATCTCTTTCTTGGCACGAGTCTCTGGGGGATAGTAATGCGACGAAAGACGTTCCTGCTAAAAAACAAAACAAAACAAAACAACAACGTCACCCCCTCTGAAATGAGTGAGTGAAATGTGTTGACAAACGTAACAGTTTGATACGTTAAAACATGAAACGTCACAAAGGTTATGATAGATTTATTCAGTAGTAAAGGTGTTTTAAATATGGTCTTTTACCACCTTTAAATCTATCTCCTCTTCCCTTATAGAGTTAGAAAGGTGGTGAGTTTTAAGATAAAACATATATACTTATATTCGTGTTAAAATTTATTATTTTATAATTAGAAATATCCGGAATCTGTTTACATAGAAGCAAATTATGTAGTGATGAATTACAACATTTAAAAAAAAAACTGAATTAAAATACAGTTTGTTAATTTGTTTCTTCTTAAAAATAGTTTATTTAACATTAATAAAATGATAAGAGACTAACTCATTTTTCATATTTGTTAAAGAGAAAATGAAAAATGGATCCATTCTGACAGAACCGCATGATCACCGTTAATAAAAATTGAAAAAGTATCCTCAATCCGATCGAATAATTCGCTCGAAAAAAAATAATAAAAAATAAAAATAATATTAATATACATATAAAAAATAATTAAAATAAAGTAAAATAAATATCTTTCTTTAAAAAATAATAATTTTTTAACATTAAAATGACATAAATTACAGTTTAAAAAAAACGAATGATTGTTAGCGTAAATGATATAGAATATCGTATATTTAGCGTGAAATTCTCGTTATACGCAAGACATTTTTGTATCTCAATAATAATCTTTCATGCAAAAAAAAAACATTTTAAAATAATAAAGTGTCAGGTCAAGGAAGTGTTTCGTGAAATATCTATACAAAAGAAGAACCCCATTAAAATTACTAAAATGAAAAAAAGGGGGGGGTGGCTTTTTACAAAAATCCATTGTCGGATCTGATGATGAGAATATCCCATAAAGCTAATTGGATTTGATGAGACTCTCTATAAATAATTTAATCTAGAAAGTCTTGTGCTGTTGACAAGTCTGTATCTAAAATACAATTAACGAAAAGTCAAGAAGGATCTGGTGAAAGAAAACGATTTTCCTTACTACACTCTGACCACAAAGTCAGATTAATTGCTGTCATCAGGCAATGAATTAAACGTGTCTAGTGCATACCACTTGCTACTATATTGTCGACAGTTCTAGCACCATTTACTTGAACTACCTTGTTTATATATATATATATATATATATATATATAAGTTTCTATAGAACTCAATTCTATAAGCCATGTAAGAGAGGCTTCGCTAATACTCCTGAAAAATTTGGGGGGTTGTTTTTAACACTAGTTCAAACTCCTCACAGTTGAAGGAATTGTTTGGCATAAACATTCAGAATATTTATATCTTGATTTTTTCCGTATTATTTAAAACTGGTTCTACATTCTTCAACTAACTAATCATAACATTATGAAATAAGCGACATTAATGTCAGTGAGAAAAGACCTAATACTCCAAAAATAAAGCAATACAATACAATTTAATGCTATCATCGTATTATGCTCTATACGTGCAATGTTTTTTTTTTATTTTTATTTTTAACTCTGCTCTGTGGGCACTAAGAGGGCCTCTTCTAGCAAGCCCATTAAGGTTCGACCAGGCCCACAATGGGGCGGCCGGATGGGGCCCGATATATCCGGATGGACCCCCGAAAAATTCCTGGGGATTTT